CCGCACCGGAGCGGAGCCGTTGTAGAGCGGGTAGCAGTAAAAATTGAGTTCGGAAGCGAGCGGCTGCGGAAGGCGGGGGCGGAGCGGAGGTAGTGGAATTTTGGGGTTAAGAGTGTGATGCTACCGTGGCTAACAGCCAAATCAGACAAAACTGTCATGCTGTTCTCCATGCTTCGTTTGGTTTCAACCCCTTCGCTTCGATGAGTTTTAACTTTACAGTTTTAACTCTTAATGATGAGCTTTTTAAGGATAAAGCTCTTGGATGATCCAGTGGGATCTTGTGATGTTTGTGTTAAAGGTTAACTTTGTTTGTTGCAATTTTATTGACTCCGGTTTTAAAACACCTTCGTTTCGGTAAAACTTACAATAAGTATTAACCTGGTGTTTTAAGTCAGTAGATTGTTTTAGACTTTTATCAACTTCGTTGTGCTTTTAAAACACCTTCTTTTTCTAAACTAATGATAATACATGGCAAGATATGAATTATGAAATGTGATGGAGTGTATGTGTGGTGATGGAATGGGAGTTGTAGGTGTGGTGTAAAGCAGAGGTTTATCAGAATCTTTGTATCTGAAAGAGATTGTGAATTCTGGGTGTAAAAGAATTTGTTGTCTGCGAACCCTGATCAGAGACCCCCGTCAGACCTGGAATGTCAGAAAGTCGGGTGGACCTCAAGGCACCGAAGTTCGTAGAATAACCGCAGTGTGACCAGTTCGGTCTTGGGATGTTTCCCGGATCACAACAGCAGGAAGGTTTGTTGCGTCTAAGACGGATGCTCTTAAGGAGTCATATGGCTGTGCCAGCTGGCAGTGTGCCAACGGGTTTGACCGTGTGTCTAAAGAGAGAGGTGTTTCAAAGAGGCTAGTTCCGCTCCGGAGTTCTGCTCTAAACTGAGTAACTCGGGAAGTCACTCTAGTTTTAATAGTCTAGAGTTTATCATTTCTGCAAATCTGAATTTGACAAGTTTGTAGGCTTCACCAAACATCCCTCAGAAAACCACATCTTCCAGATACAAGCTGTTCCAGTTCTGCGGATAAAGAATCCTTAAACTTGTGAGATGACATTAACCGTAATTTGCATCTTATGAACATTGTGTATGAGTGTAGATAATGATTAACTTGTTAAATCAAACAGTACTGATCATAACGTATAAATGGATCATTATAATAACAATATTCATTTCAACTTCACTGAATTAGGCACAGATTATTCAAACATTTCATATAACATCTGGTTCATTCAACCACATGATTATTTAACTTATGAGTTGTAAAAGTTCACTTTTCATTCAGAGTGTGCATTCCAGCAGTCTGAGATTGGTTTGACAATCTTGTCTTCAAGGACTGTCAACAAGCCCTGCAGAATCTTCTGGGTGTTGGAAGATAGAGTAGCAACTCCACCTGGATAGTGGAATTCTGTCTGTAGGTGACCTTTCACTGTGTAAGTCAATATTTAGGTCAAAACTGACCCTTTTCTGGACGTTACACCATTTTGCATTAAGATAAATATGGGTAACCTACCAACCGCGTTGCCTACAAATACTGTCTTACAAGAAGGGCAGCTGTGGCTACATCGTAGCTCATCCCCACCAGTGTGTGAATGTGTGTGTGAATGGATGAATGATACACTGTAGTGTAAAGCGCTTTGGAGTCCTTACTCTGAGAGGCGCTGTACAAGTGCGGGTCATTTATCAAAGTTTGACTCAGCAGAATTTGGCTCGGCACTGCAGCCGGTCTGAGGTTCTGCTGAGTCATATTAGGCTGCCATAAAGTGCAGTCACATGCTCTAATATAAATTGTATATATGTGCAACATGGTGAAGATATTTGCATTCTTTATGAAGAAATTTTAAACTCTACTTGAATCAAGTAGGCCCCTGTATAAAAACATTAAACATAAAGCCAATCCAGGATGGAATGAACGAGAAGTAGAGCTTTATGTGGATGCCGGACTAAGCAGGCTAACCAGAAAGAGGCCCACTTTTCAATTATAAAAAATTTACCCACACAAACGCAAGACGTGCTCCATGTTTCATCAAAAGGAACAAAGACAGGCTTAGGCATGATCCCTTAGCAAAGAAACTACTAAATAAGTGCCCTGTGGAATTTGGGGAAGAACTAAGAGAAGTGAACATTTGTAAAGCTGCCAACGAATACAGATGGGGCAAATGGATACGAGGAAATGACCCAATTATGGCAGAAACGGTTTTCTGAATTGTTTAACAGCATTAAAAGCCCCCCCCGGTAGATACTGTTGAGGGAAATAAGGATGCTACCATTTCTGTGCAAGAGGTTTATGATCTTGTGATGACACTTAAGGAATATACATCATGTGGTGCAGACAAAGTAACAGTTGCACATTTAAAGCTAGCAAGTAGGAAACTTTACCCGCTTTTGGCTGTCTGTTTTACCAGGTTCCTAATACATGGGGTTTTACCCAACTCTATGCTATCTGTAGTTCTGGTACCTATAAAACAATAAAACAGGCCAGATAAACAGTAAGAACTACCGGCCCATCGCCCTGGCCAGTACCCTGTCCAAGGTCCTGGAAAGGGCTGTTTTAACAAGACTGGAGGAGTTTGTTACCTCGTCTGACAATCAAATTGGATTTCAAACCAAATTGGGCACAGACATGTGCATATTTGTACTGAAGGAAATACTTGACCTGCATAACAGACATAAAACAACTGTATTCACATGTTTTGATGCTTCAAAAGCATTCAACTTCGTTAAACATGAAGTTATTTCTCAAATTGCTCAATAGAAAAGTAGCAACACATCTGGTGAGAATTCTAGTATTTAGGTCAGTCTACAGTTGTAAAATAGGAAAGTGCTGTCTCCTCTCCCTTCTCTGTAGGTAATGGAGTGCAGCGAGGCAGCATTCTGTCTCCTTGCCTTTGTAATGCATCCATGGATGACTTATCCAGATCGCTGAACGAATGCAAGACTGGTAGTAGAGTTGGGAATATTACTGTGAATCATTCGATGTATGCAGATGGCTTGGCAGTCTTCTGTCCACATAGTGCTGGGTTGCAACAACTACTGAGGACTTGCTCAGAATATGCTCTGGACTTTGACATTAATTATAATGCAACAAAAAGCAATCCGATGATTATCAGAAACAACGAGGACAAAAAACTTTCCTTCCCTGATTTCTTTTTATCAGCTGGTATTTTACCGGTTTGTAATGAGAATAAATATTTGGGGCACTATTTAAAGTGACAATGTCTAGTTTTTACCATTAATCTCTGGAAATATCCATTGAAATTTCGTAAATGAATCGGGTCTAAAATACATGGCAGCAGGTCTAAGTCTCTGGGCGACGCCATATTGAATGCCGTGTTTCCTTCTACGGAAGCCCGTGAGGACAGAGTTAATTTACTGATTTGTAAAAAGTGGTTACAAAAATTTCAGCAATAATAAATGTGTTCTTTTACACATTTACCTCTTCACTCGTTGCAATTGATGAAAGGATGTCTGATGCTCTTGTTGTTTTGCTGGAGGTTGCACTCCCAAGGATTTTTGACCCTAATGGCCATCTGTTGGTAAAGTCTTACTTGAACACAAAAATAATGCCTACTTGCAATGATTTAGGTATCTACTGCCCCCATCACCAGGGAAACTACACACTGTCACTTTAACTGCTGGTCTGTTGGATGGCAGAGACATTTATAGGCAGTGCTGTCTGCAACATGTGCAGGCTAACATGCGTATTCGAACGTTTTCATGTGCTCTGCATCTGTCAAAAAAACACTGTTAAAAGCATTTTGCACACCTATGGACACTGCCCATCTATGGTGGAATTATTGAAAAAGCAGTTTAAAAAAAGTTTTAGGTAGCATCCAATGATGGGATGAGACTTCTGTTTAGGGTCCCTCGCTGGAGCAGTGCCAGTCAGCTGTTAACGCCGGCTGTTGGTCCCTGCTGTGCCGCAGTGATTGGTAATCTCATGCACGTGTAGGAAAACAACATCATGTGTAGTTTGACTAATGGACAACACAATGGTAAATGGCCTGTGTTTGATAAAGCGTCTTCTAGAGTCCTGGAAAAAACAACAAGGCACTTTCAGAGTATGTGCAGAGATCTCAAAATCAAATGTAAGACTTTTTCAGGACTTTTTAAGACCTTCTAAAAATAAAATTAAGACTATCGCAAAGAACTAATCAACTGTTAAACACACATATATTGTTTTTAAACACTGCATCGCTTCATTTTCCACTTCATGACGGGTTACGTCACACCCGGGACAGCGAGGCTGCAGCAATACTACGTAAAGCCATGTGGTACAAAAATGCAAACCGCACCAATAGAACGAAAATAAATAAATGCGTATTAGTTTACATGCATTAATTTT